ATATAATAAATAATAAATATATATTATTATAAATTTTAAGCATCTATTCATCTTCCTTCATTTTAACGAATTATATTACATTATATTATGTATATAATGAAAACTAATAATGATAAAATAATTAAGAATATAAAGATAAGAAGTAAAAGACAAAGAATATGAAGAGATAAAATTGGAACTCACCATATTAATAAAATGAAATGGAAGAGATAAAGAGAAGAATATAATATATTGGTGTAGAGAAAAGTGAGGGTTTATATATAGGTGAGTAAGAAGATAAAAGGATATTGTACATAAAGAAGAAGAAAATAAAAAGGTTGGAAAAAATTGTAACAACATATTATTATATATTAAATATATATTTAATTGTTTATAATAATTATATAATAAATAATAAATATATATTATTATATTATTATTATATATTAAATATATATAAAATGCTACCCTATTTAATGCTTAGGGTAGCATTTTATATATATATATAGATATATAGATTACCACCTTCATGGAAGGATTATCAAAAATTTCTTAAATACAAGAAAAGGTCTTTGATGTTAGATGAATTGGCGAAGTATATTCAAATTGAATATGAGGCCAAGAAAAAAGATAGTTAAAAAAAGAGTGATAATGTGAATGGTTTGGAGGGAACATCTTTTTCCAAGAAACCCAATCACAAGTCCAAGAAAGGACAAAAAGGGTCTTCTTCACTAAAAGGCAAAAATGGTGAGGGTAATGAAATAAATAAATAAATAAATATTCCTTTTAAAGTCCCTTATTTAATTGCATGCATTGTTTGTTCATAATAAAGTAAGTTGAACATTAAAGTTCTTACTAGACGCAGAACTTACAAAAGTGGAATGGAAGTTATGAACAATTTTGATGAGTTTACCTATGCAAGTGGGAAGGTTAGAGGTTGCCTTCTATGAATTACATTGGTTAATCTTAAGAGTACTTGCTATAACAAGATTAGTGCATGACCCTTTTATAAACGCACTTGTCGTGGTGGAACTTTAAGTCTTTGTATAATGTGAATATGGTTTCTTAGTGATTTCTATTCAATCCAAAGGTTCAAATGTTGGCCACTTTTGGACATGCATTACAATATCAGTATACTTAATAAATATTATTAGAAAATAAGTGGGGGATTGTTATATATGTATATATATATATATATTAGGTGTTTTCTAATAATATGATGGTAAACCCAAAGATAACAATGAGACCCACAACACAACAAGGGATTTTGAAACTTCAGAAAAGCTAAATTAAGTTTATAATAAGACCTTGACCCATTGTTTATGTTGCGATAAGAACCAAAGGTAAAACCTTGATCCGTTGTTTATGATGCAACAAGAACTAGGGGCATAAAGTTGGTTGACGCCACACCCTCAAACAGTTAAGGACAAGAATGATAAGTCAGGTTAGAATGCCACAAGAATAATCTTGATTAGTTTTGTAAAGTTTTGAAACGAACTAAAGAGAAAAGTCTCTCAAATACTTAGATTTAATAGTTTCCTCCCAATTAGGGTTACAAGGCCTTTAAATAAGGAAAACTAAGAGCCTGTTTGGTGTGGCTGGAGCTTTTGATGGAAGTCCTGTTGGAAAGAATTTATTGTAGAAGTGCTGTTTTTAAGAAATTGAAAGTGTTTGGTAAAATTTTTTATAAAAGTACTTGTAGAATAAAAAGTTGTTTGGTAAATTTTTTTATAAAAGATCTTTTAATATTAAAATGACAGAAATAGACATTGTTTATTTTTTTATCACTCTCACTTCATTTTTTTATAT